AAAAAAATAAATTATATATATATATATATATATATATATATATACATATATATACATATGCAAATACAAAATAAAGGACACTGTATTGTTTAACTAAGCCAATTTAAGCATACACATATGTAAATATATAGCCTACATGCATATCTATATCAGATGTATAGTATATAGAATATAGATAATAGTTTGTGTGTATATATGCGCACACACATATGTACGTTCATATATATATATATATATATATATACGCATACGTATATAGGGTTAGTTTAACAATGACACTGTTTATATAATGTTGTTCGTGTTTTTTTTTTTGTTTTTTGTTTTTAAACTCTCCCTTTATTTAAACCTATTTTACATTGTACTTGTGTAAAATAGCATGACTAATGTAGAAGTATGACTAATGTAAACGAGTGGTAGTGTTGGTTAGCCAAACCCCCTGGATCAGGTTGCCATGCCCCTGTAACTAGCTCTGGAGAGAGTGTTTGTTTTGTTGCAAAGTAACATGTATTTTCTGTTTTTCTCCTCTTCACATCCACAGGTGTGACACGAAAGGATTTTTCAGCAAGTCCTCTGACTTTGGATTTACAACCACAAAGGATTTTTTTTTTCTGACATAGGGGAAAAGAAATGAATAGCCAGTCTGATCTTTGAGGAGTTACATCAGTCCCATATCCTGCTCGGCATAATGTACTAATGGCTGGCTTTTGTTTGAGGATGCGTATTGTTTGCTCTTAAAAGAAAAGGAATGTATTCATGGATCACACCTTAATGAAACAACTTATTTCACCATGGTGAAACTGGCCAATCCCCTGTACACAGAGTGGATTCTTGAGGCTATTCAGAAGATCAAAAGGCAGAAGCAGCGGCCTTCGGAGGAGCGGATTTGCCATACCGTCTCAACCTCACATGGACTAGACAAGGGCGTCGTACTCCAGCAGCTGGAGCTCTCTGTGAAGGATGGATCCATCCTTAAGGTTACCAGCAAAGGGTGCGCTTCATACAAAGACCCCGATAACCCGGGAAGGATTGGGCCTTTCAAGCTGGGAGGCTCTGGCCCGGTCTCGCTTGGATCTGTGATACCTGCTGGAGATCTGCGTCATGTGGATTGGAATAAAATCCTTAGGAGGGCTATCGAAGGTCTGGGCGTCCCGGCTGGCTCCTCTCTAAGGAACATCGAGAGATTTCTTAGAAGCCAGGGCGACCTGGTGAATGTTGTGGTGAACCCCAGGTTTCAGCAGAGACTGAGGCTAGCTGCTAAGCGGGCGGTTAACAACGGGCGGCTGCTCAAGGATGGGCCGCTCTACAGGATGAACAGTGGTGGGCTGGGAGGCAAAGCTTGCTTCAGGAGCGTGGTGGTCTTTGGTGTCGACCTCCCACCTGTGACACTACTCCCTCATGAGAGAGACCGGGTATGTCTAGAACTTTTTGTATCAGGCTCTGTGTGCTTGTCTGAAAAGCTGTGAATATAAAAATTTTTTTTTTTTTTTGTTTCTGCAAATGCAAACTTATTTAAAGCCAAGGTTTTACCTATGAACGACCTTGAGAACGTTTGGGAACCTCTTCATTCAGTACCAAGCAGATTTGTGGTGTTTTCATCTAGACAGTTTAGCTTGTTAGCGTGGACTGTTGTTTTGAGACCTCAGCAGAGTTTCAAAATCTAGTGTACACAAGAAGTGTCCGGAACAGAAATACTCCTTCCAGAAATACTCATATGGTGACATGCGTACCAGTGTCATTTAGAGGTTGTAACATCCAGGAAGTCAGTAGTTTAAGTCCAGTGTTTGTAGCTTTTCAGGGCTTAACTATACAAATGTGGCTTTAGCATTAAAAATTGTTGAAATATCTTGAAACCATAGCCTAACTCATTGTTTAGGTAAAGGGTTTCTTCACCATTGGCCCCAAACCGCTTTGTCATCCACATGAGTGAGCTTGGCTTCGATTTTAACATTGTGTGATTGAAATGTGTGAAAAATGAGTCGTTTTTATTCCTAAATCATCTTTGGTTTGCTCCAAGATAGTTTTCTAAATGAGAGCTTGATACGCTACAGATGTTGGAGTAGCTGTGCGTTATTGATCTTGTTGTCCTGAAGCTTCATCATCCAGGCCTCGCTGGTGCGATTTCCATATTTAAAAATCTTAAGTCAACATGAAACAGCATTTGCAAGCCATTCTACACCTGTAATGTAAAACATTTTAAGTGTATTTAATGAGTGAAAATGTAGGCTGTGAACTAAATTTATCATTTGGAAATGGTTTGGATTGTGAAATGTGCCCATTACGTGCCTGAATAAAGCTGGTTAGAGAAGATGGGTTGATTGAAGTAAGAGTGTTTTGTGACGTCAGCTGAAAAGTTTCAGAGGCTGAGCAAGCGATTAAATATTTCTAAAATAAAGCTTCTTTTTTTTTTCTTGGAATAATGTGACTGATTATTAATTTAAAAAGACCGTGATTGTGTATTAATAAAGTAAATGGGTTTATTTTTGTTTTGATGTTGACTTGATGTTCAAGCTTGATGGAGCAGTGTTAATTTCATTGACGAATAATTTTCGTCATAATTTTCGTCAGTCACATTTTTTTCGCCGACGATAACGAACTAAAACTCTTTTTGAATGACAAACTATGACGTAAATCTATTGACATTTTCATCAACTAATAAAAACGAGACGAAAATGTTAGGGAGGGACGATTTGGGAAGAGATTCATTCAGAACGAATCTGCTGCGTGGTTCGGAGGTTAGATGCGCACATATGAACCGGCGGGACATAAGCTAACATACACTTGCTGCAC